GTGGGGGCAGAAAGAGGAGACGAAAGCAGACGACAGAACATTGCTAGAGAGCAGGAAATGAGGTGAAAGGAGACAAATTTAGAGAAGAAAATTTTTCGGTCGCTACGCGGATTCGCACCCGGGACCTTTTGAGTGAGAGGCCAACACCTTAACCTCAAGGCCACGAGAGCCCCCAGTTAATGTTCATTTCGGCATGCATTGAATGACTCTCAATAAAAACAAAACAAAGCAAATCAAAACAGAACTCCGACAAATGTTAAGGAGAATAAGGCTAGATCTAGAGTGCAAAATAATATGGTATTTGAAAAGTCTTGTACGTTTGAACTGTATTATATTATAGTTCGTGGTGATTTATTGTGCATTTCTGAATCTGAATGCAAAAAAAAAGCATCTATCAAGCTTGATATTTATCATTCGCCACTTGTTTTATTTGTTATTGTAAAATTTTCTCCACATTTTGGAAAATGTTCGTGTGTATTTTTAACTTATTCATTTGGCTTTCCCCTCAACTACGACGATATTTTAGAGTACCTGAAGTTAAAACCATTTTGTTGGGGCTTTTTGTTTTTTTAACATTTTTTTGTTAAATGTAAAAATATATTTGTCGCCTTAATTTAACATTTGAACTATTCATGCTCATTAAAAAAAATTAACACAATGTGTCTTCGCATTATTTTCAGAAATATTACTCTGACTTGCAAAAAGAACGTTATAGATTTTTCTCCCTGTTATTTGACCTATCCAGAGCGCTCTGTCCGTCTCTTACCTCACACTTACACTACACAAACTTGATCGTCTTTTCGTCCCTACACGCAACAAGACATTTCGCTACCTCCGAATTACAAAGTTCTACCCAACATTTTTGGCTGTTATGAGGTACTAATACCAAGACCATGAGATCAAAAACCAAATGTAGTATCTGCTCTATCAAAATTATAAAATTAATCAAAGAATCAATTGTATTCGAAAAAGCTTGACATGATGTGAAATTCAAAATCTTTTACTTCAAATTTCCCAAAACTAAGTACTGAGCAGATAGAAGCTTATAATTCTGAAGTAGCGATTTTTCCGATTCTCCATGTCGCTCCCTTCATAGAAAAGGCCACAAATTCGAAATTCTTATCCCCCCCCCCCCCATGCACAGAACAGGACATCTCTTAGATTCTTCATTGTTTCCATACATACAACAGGACATCTGCTAACTTCCCTATTTCTCTCACACAAAAAGACAATTGCTAAATTCTCCATTTCTATCCATATTTACAATAACACATCTACAATATTCTCCATTTATTCTCTCGGTATAAATAATATGGCATCTGCTAAATTCTCTTTTTCTCTCCTTATAATTAAATAGACATATCATGCTAAATTCTTCATTTCTCTCCTTATAATTAAATAGACATATTATGCTAAATTCTCAGTATCTCTCCCCTATAAACAATAAAGTCTGTGCTAAATTCTCAGTATCTCTCCCCTATAAACAATAAGATATCTGCTAAATTCTCCATTTCTCTCCTTACATAATGTTACAAGACATCTGGTCAGCTCTCAATCCTTTTCCCCTAACAGAACAGGACAAAAGCTGAATTGATGATTTCTTTCCATTAAAGTCAGTATCTGACTTGAGCTCATATAATATTGACTATGATTGTTCCTTTTTATCAGTGTGTGTTTACAGATGAATGTGGAAGAGAGTGTGTGTGAGAGAGTATGTACGTATGGGAGTGCCAGGTCGTGTGAGTGTTTGCGTGTGAGTGTGTGTGCGCGTGTGTGTGTGTGTGTGTGCACGTGTGTGTGTGTGTGTGTGTGTGTGTATGTGTGTGTGTATGTGTGTGTGTGTGTGTGTTTTTATTTGTGCGTGTGGTGAGACACCATACCAATGAACTACAAACATAATGCCGGCCTTACATTGGACGTGTTGTCAAACTAGTAATGTGAAACGTGAAACAGGAAACGTGAAACAAGAAACATGAGGAAATCACATAGGACCGGCGTGTGGGGAAATATGAAGCGACAGACAACACAATTTCAGAAGTAGGCCTACACGATAATTCAGTTGACAAAATGGACTCGTCAGATGAAGACACACTGATGATCTTAGTTCAACTGAGAACACGCAGAAAAAGAAGAAAGCGCAGTCTATGGTCTCGAGAACATTTCCTTTTGAGACGTACAAGAGGAGAATACACAAAAACCTTTTGTTTCTTGAAGGAAAGAAGGGATGATGAACTCTTTTGATGATTTGACAATGTCATACAGGACACACGACGGACTTAAATCTCTGGTGCTTCCATTTTTACAACCTATTGGGTCCTCTGATCTCTGTTTTTGGAGTCTCGATGCGTAGGGTCACATATCATTGGCTTGGCTTGTACTAACTCCGTTACTATTACTACTTTTCTACAATCGTCCATTCTGATAGACCTAGGCTATGCTTACTTCTTAGTGATACGACGATCAATGGAGGGCTGGGATAGTTAGCCCCAATTATACTTGGGCAGCTCTTGTGTTGACATGAAAACAGCACAGTGTTTTTCAAAATAAATTTCTTAAACTAAGCTTTAGAACCGATCTTTTACCAATGGACTTTGCTCATTTTGATACGCTGATTCCGAACATCACAATATTTTGTTCCAAATCAAAATGTTGAAATACATTTTGCTACCCCCAATTTTGTTCCCCGCCTGATGAAAACGCCAAAGAAAGCCAGCGGGAGTCGGCTGTCACCACCAGCGTGGCTTGCTCGAGTCCTCCGTCAGTGGCCACACGCCACACAAAATATGAACATGCTCATTTCACCTCAACGTGAGTTGAAACGCATTTCACGTTACACGTTTCAAGCCACGTCCTATGTGCAGGCTGTCATTAAAATCTTTGTTGTCATTCTCTGTTACACGCGTTTCAGGTGTCAGATTTCAGATTTCTCGTTTCACGACATGCCCTATATGAGGCCGGCCTAATAATATAGATTTTACACTGGCCAACACACATTTTGCGCTTAGGGTGAAAGACTTTTCTATAAAATACATCTAAGCAAATTTGGAGTCGCAGAGGAGGTGGGGTCCAGACTGACAGTAACAGCTAAGTGCCTTCCGCAAGTCAACCCTCGACTCTCACCTCCATTAACATTTCTGTTATATAAAGAGACTGGCCAAACCACCAACTCGTCGGGTGTGCTTTTGGGGCCAAGTAAGGCGTAAGGTTGTAGCAGAAAGTTGACGGTGAGCAGAACACCAAACAGAACCAATTCAATTAGCGATACAGATACGAGCCGTTATGACAGTACATGTACGTGCTAACTGACAATGACTAGAGACAGGTTTAATGATAAATATTACAGACGAAATTGTAAGATGTACTTGTGGCGACTAACCTTATGTGTTGTTATGCGTAGTACGTGTGTTGTTATGTGTAGTACGTGAGTTCATGAGTCAGACTTCAGGGAAAGTCGCCAACCTGTTCGAGTAAATGTACGAATGTCATGTTTTGTTCTTTGTAAGCAACAGAAGAGCCAACTTGGTTAAAAAGGGGATCTTCATGCGGGCTCTTTCCACTCTGAGGGCAATTGTTCAATTCTCCAAGCTGAGTGACGTCACCACTGACTGCACAATACGAAGGCGCGCATCGTGACAGCAAAGGTGGTAACAACAACTGTGTGAGACAGCGAGATAAACTGAGATTTAGAAACGGGTTTCCATGATGCGACAACACATCGGTGAGCCCATATCTCTTGAGCGTATTTTTATAGTGAAAGTTCTATGAATGTTGATTAAAATTAATTAGGATTTACTTGAAACTGAATAAGAACTATTATCAGAAGCCGATCCCTTGTCCACTACAACTGACTAAAAGTGACCGGCAACACCGGTCTTGCCCAGCTAACAAACCGCGCCTGAAGAGGTATCAAAGCTGACTGGAAGCCAACACGATGCTAGATTACTGTTGAATCATAATTTAGAGAGACGGTCTCCAGACAATCCCACATATGAAGTTTGTAATGAGTAAACAATAATAATAATAATAATAATAATAATAATAATAATAATAATAATAATAATAACAATAATAATAATGAAATAATAATAATATATAACATCTATACAGCGCATTTCCAAAAAAGTAGCTCAATGCGCTTTACATTGGAATACTCATTTTTCAAAAACCTTTCTCACTACTTCCTTTCTTCTCATGCAATATACATTAGCCTATGTTTCCTCCAACTTAAGTGCATAATATACTATTTCTCAAACTTGAAGCTTGATGTGGTTTACACAAATGAGAGCAAGGTTTGATGTCTCATTTGTTTCCGTTGCTCTGGACATGATTGGCATTTGTCACTATAATAACTATTTCAATAGTAACCCCGCAGAAACAGTGGTTATGCCATTCAGCAAAACCTTGGCCTGATAGAGCAATTGATGCCACTTTTGGTTTCAGCGACCTGAAATTACTGTCAATCAAGCCTCCAACTCCATGGCAGAAAAAAACAAAACATTTCGTTGTCCTTTTCATCTTTACGTAAAAGGTTATTTTACGTCCTTTTTCCAAAATGTTTTCAAAAACGCGACTCGGTATTTCGAACTCATGTTCAGATACACAAATATATTCACGCTGGAGTTGATAGTTTCTGTAAGAAATGCTGAAGACCAAATGACAAGATAGAGATTTTTATAGACACCATCAATACGGAAATCTTGGTCAAACACCATGTAGAAAAACAGGAGTGTTGGCGGTACGGCGCAGACGATGAAAATGACAGCGATGAAGGTCACCATTTTCACAACCTTTTGATCTTTGACCCCAACTCCTTCCGCTGCACGATCAGACTTGGCTGCAGTGGCCTGCCGCCATTTTGTTTTACTGTTGAGTTTGACGACAAGAACGATGGTACAGCAGATGACGAAGACGAAGGAAAACGTCGTAGTAAATACGCCTTGGGTGAGAAATGTAATGGTTTCTAGCATGTCCCTTTCGGATGTGAACGTGGACTTTAGGATAGTAACATTCCTGGTGAAATCGAAAACCAACTCAAGACTGTTTCCAAGACAGAAGGGGATCATCAAAACAGCCATGGCAATGTAGATGGAGATAATAATTATCTTTGTCCTTCCCGGTGTGATGATCGTCTTTACCTTCAGAGGGACAGCGATGCACAGACATCGCTCGAAGGTGATGAAAGCAGTGATAAAAGTGGCAATTTTGACAAAGAGGAAATGGGGCGTGACCCCCGTGAGGTACATGATGTCCCTTGGGTCAAAGGGCAGCTCAGAGAGGTAGAAGAGTGGGGTCACGCAGATACATATCCATATCATGGTCAGCAGGGAGCACAGGTCAGACACAGCGAGCCCTGAAATTGTAAACATTTACGAGATGGAAACAATGCAATATACAATAATGAGCCCCCCCCCCCCCACCCTCCCTTCCTTGCATGATAGGTGACACCACTGTGGAAATACTCTGACATAGAAAGAGTTAAACCAAGCTAAACAGAAGTTTCATTATATTTTTATTTCAGCAAATCATCATCAAGTGCCAGATCTGCAACAGACATCGGCGATCATTGTTCTCCATTCATTTCTTAGCTCTGATGTTCTCCAAAACGCTACAGTATCCTTATCTTTCCCCATCAGCAATCTGTTTAAGCTCTCCAAATAGGTTGCTCTGGGTCTACCCCTGCCTCGTTTGCCTTAAATTTTGCCATTGAGAGCTAGATGTTCAAGGCCTTTATGTCTATTCAAGTGTCCCAGAAACTGCATTTGTCTTTTCTTGATTGTATTTTTAGTTTAAACCAGCGAGCAGCCCATGTGGGTATCTTCAAGTACTGCCTCATTTGATTTCTTTTCCTTTGAAGAAATTCTCAGCAGTATCCTAAGAAAGCACAGTACTGTCGATTTTATTTCATTTTCATTGTCTTTAATGATTGTCCAGCATTCACAGTCATAAAGAAGGGTTGAGCATTTCAGAATTTTCATTTCGGTTTTTATTTTCCAGGATTGGGTTCATTTTATTGAAATTATCTTTAGATTTTGTTATGCTTAGTTTTAGTTCTGTGGAACATCGGTATCATGTGTAATTACAGATCTATATCCTAGATATAAAAACTGTTGAACTTGTTTGATCTTTCTGCTTTTGCTAATGCGATTGCAAGTAGGATTTACTGCTTTTTTTAGACGTATACGTCCGATAGCCTTGAGCTCCCTTGAAGAGGAGACGCATCGTACGTGTACGTCCAATAGCCTTTCGCAGCCTTCATACAAATGATTGTATTTCAGGGAACAAACTTTTGTTTGATATTGCTCAGCCATTTTATTTCGTACTTATTCCCCCTTGACCTTACAGTGTCGTTTTTGTTATTTTCAGTGACGATTTGTGAAGGCAGTCGAGGCGATAAAGAAGACGAATCTTGGAGGAGTACCATACAAAGAGGGACTATTAACAGTGACTAGAACTATTTCTTCACAGTGTTTGGACTGTAAATTATGTTGTTATGAGTTTTGAGCTGCTTTAAACTTGTTCAAATTTTATCTTGTTAGTTTCTGCATTTCTTCGCTGTCAACTTAGAGTGAAAATATTTCTGTAGGGGTCTGGCACGTTTAGGTCAGGCAAATTTGGTGAGGTCTAAGGAAAAGTCCAAATGTTGAACGTGTAGATGGTGAAAACAGAATTTAAAAACATTAAAAAGGGAAAAAAGGGCCGACTTTCAAGTTGACCCAGAATAGCGCGTCTCTGGGTGGAAAGCTGATAAAACCTGCGTTCAGAATGATTTAGATATTGCCATACATTCTGCTTTCTTCACATAATAGTTATTTCTTCCACAATAACCCTCTACGTTTACTTTCCTTTACAACAATATCTAAAACAGACAGATTTTTTTCTGAATCTGCTATTAAAACATTGTCATTGGCATGTCAAATGCTATTGATATTTTAGCCATACATTTTGAGACCTTGACATAAATCATTATTATTTCTAAGGGTTGTTTCATTGATAAAAAATACTGACTTAATCATGGCTATCGTTTGGCTATCTAATTTCACCTCAGGCATAAATCGAATTTAAGGGCTGTGTTGCCTGGACTGGACATCGCCAAGATGGCCCCTTCTTCGAGTGTAAGGGATATTTTCTGAAGCACCTGTGTCTCCAGGGTTCTCCTCTACTCCCAAAGACCATCTTCCATTTGTTGCACGCACGACTGCTTAGCAGTTTTCCTCCATACATGGAGGTCTCTCCCCTATCCACCACCCAGGGACGGGCTGGGTAAGGATTGAAGACCCAACACTACTTCAGTAAATACAGTTTTCTATCTTTACTGATTTGGGATATTTGATCACCGAACTTGTTACAGCTACTGGGTTTGTTTTTTTGTGGTTTGTTTGTTTGTTGTTGTTTTTTTTTCCGACCTTTTCACCTGTAGTCAAATGAACAGCCTTCTAAACACTTTTCATTTTTGGGGTAATCCACTTCTGTGGTGTAGTAGTTAGGCTCTTTGCACACGATATTAGTTTGATTCTCCTCCCTCAGCCATGTTGGATATGACAGGCAGTGCAGAAGCGGTCGCCTTCTAAATGATCAAAACTATTTTGATGAAGGCGTAAAGTATCTACAATAACATTCTTCAAAGACTTTTTTGAAAATAATGAATATTTTGTCACTAACTTTTTTAAAAAAAGTTTTAGGACAGGTTTTACGGCGCTCGCAACTGCAAAAGGTCATATGCGCTCCAGAAGTTTAGAGGAGTTACAAGGGAGTAACAAACCTATAAAAGAAGAAGGGGATATAAGGACGATAGATATTTCATAGGGAAGAAGAAGCAAACCACACCAGAGCACCCGCCAACCACCCACTGTCACTAACTTTGATAATATTAATTATGTTTTCTGTAAGGGAGGGGAGAGAGAGGGGGGGGGGGTTATTGTCAGAAGTTGAGAAATGGAAAGTGCCTACTGTACAACGATTTTGTCTTTTGTTTTGTTTTTCCTTTTCGTGCACTTATTCTATTTCTTTCTTAAAATTTGTTTCCCCCCCCCCCCCTTTTTGTCAGTCCGAAAAGTTTTGAATTCGCGCGATTTCAGTCATCCAGTGTCATTAAGTAAAGTGTCTACAATAACACTCCCTAAAGACTTTTTTGAAAATAATGAAGATTTTGTCACTAACTTTGATAAAACTAATCATATTTTCTGTAAGGGAGGGGGTGGAAAGGGGGGGGGGGATGGTTATCGTCAGAAGCTGAGAAATTATCATGTTTCAATGCAGTGTAGCGCCCCTTTAGACACGTCGCCATCGACTTGAATTGGCTGACTGGGGGAAATTACGAGGACGCTTAAAACAAAATCTCATTAAAAAAATAAAAGATCTCTTTGCTTAGAATAACAGCACAGCTTTTTACAGTATTGTACATGTGTTGGGGCTATATTTCATCTTTGTTTCTATTATATTATCTACTATCTACCTAACGTATGTGGGGTAGACTAATACTTAGGTTACCAGACTCGTACTCGTTAGATTGAGAGTTTGGGTGTCCTTGGGAAAAGCACTTTACACTAATTCCCAATTGTCATAAAACATTATAGATCTAAGTAAAAGTCCCCAAGTAAGCAGCGCTATGGGACTGTTCAGTCCCCCAGTGGGTAGCCCGAGAGGGCTGTACAGTCCCCTAACAAATTCCTAAACCTATACCAATTCACCTATTTTTTCACTTATTATGTGGTAACAAATGAAAGTAACATGGCACAGGGTTAACGCCCATAAAGGCAGGACCTCTGAGTTCAACATCCATCCCCAAAAGGACCGAGCCAAATGGGAATTTCGTGTCCAATGCCTTTAGAAAGCAGACAAGGTCGGCCCAAGTTGAGTCTCGAATCCCCGAACCCTCAGTCTCACGACTACGGGTCCAGTAGCCTTACTACTGGGCTACCGACACCATTCACCATTTATGTGGGTTATGTTCTATCCCAGGACTGTCGGATAGGCACATTAACTGTCAGCAACGGTATATTTGATTATTGCCATCTCACGTATGTGGATTATATTTATCTTTCAGGATTGATGGACAGGTACATTAGTTGTAAGTAACTGTGGATTCGATGTGATAGTTGCAATCTCACCCATGAGGCTGATGTTCATGCTGTCCTGAAAGCCTTGCTTGGCAAACACCACAATGTTGATGATGTTGGAGGCCACGCCGAACAGACTGAGGAGACCTGAGATGACCACCACGTTGACCACTTGGACAATGTACCACTGCTCGTCGCTTACGATATTTGCATAATATGAACCAGAAGATGAGAGTGTTGTCATTAGGAAACTCAATTTCTGGTCGCGAGAGTAAGTTGAGTTGTTTCCCCATGTATGGGAAATCGACATTCTGGGTGGGAGAGACGTGTGGGACATCGACACCACAGTTACTTTAGCCCTAGGCTCCTCCCCTATTTCAGGCACAGACCTTGATTTATACGCTCAGTACAAAGGAAACTAGGTCATAATCAAAGACAAAAAATGATGATGCAACAACGTTCTTTCTTTGTGTTACTGCAATTCACCCTAACATTATAACTGCTATTTTCGAAAATAAAAATGACGATTTTTATAATTTCAATCGTAATACAAGCAGACATATGTTTTAATTAGTTACAATATCATGTCATGTAATTATATTCTACGACTCTGGCCATTGATTCCTATTAGTTTAGTCGGTTTTGTTCAGTTATAATGAGACTCTGTGCAAACATTATTTTAACTACGAGGAAACATTCGGCACAGAATCATAAAGATCTAATTAATGTCACAGTCATCGTAGAGACAATAATCGACTCTTAATGAGATGAGATAAGTAGTGCCTTTGTCTGTCAGACACAAAATACAACTCTTTGTTTTGTATGGCTTCGTACCCGTGTGCTCATTGCCACAAGTGACTTTTTAAAAATTATGCAAGTTGTTATAGGTCGACTGTTCGGAAACTGCAGACAGGTGTGCCAAGTATTTTGTCAGTGAATTATAAGTCGATCCTCAGTGGTAAGGAGAAACATAGCGCAGGCTGATAATTGATTTGAGCTGCTCCCTTTTGCATTATAATTATTCCTTGCATTGGATCAGAGACTCCTGTATAGACCAACATTTTTTAAAAAATCGGGTTTTTTCGGATACCTGTTAAGTGGACCGAAACTGCATTATGTGTTAAAACGCTAAACCTGTAGGTTAAATAGAACAGAAGTTACAAAGTTCCAACAGGAGATTTTGGTGAAATTGTTTTCAACTCCCGTAAATTTTATACAGCGATGTTGTACCCTCATTGTTTACAGGAAAAGCCTGTACAGGCTTTACATAGAAATTCTGAAACCAACAAAAATCTCGCACGTTTTTTAAACCGCTACAGAGTAAGAACACATTGCATGGACATACATAATTTCTTGAATGTGATTTTCTTCAAACTTTGAAATAGAAAGTAAATGATGTTTTTGACTCAGACACAGGAAGGACAGAGAATGGCGTAAAATTACTTGGGGACTGCGTTGCAAGATTTTCCTCAAACTTAGAACAATGTTCCAGACGGCAGTGAGACACTTTCTACACTCGCAAAGATAAAAAACCGATCATCTACCAAAGTTCAATAAGCCTGTCCAGTGGTCTCTCATTTTTGCAATTGAAAGTAAGGGCGTCCAACTCCTTGTCTTCCACCTCAACAGTATTAGAAAACACATCATCTTCTTTGCCATCTGTAGCAATGTCAATTGAGATAATATCCACAGACGCGACTGCATTTGCACCACTTCTACCTGTGTCACTTGATGAAACCTCACCCTCAATGAATAGAATGCCACCGTTTCTTCCCTCCCATTAGGCTCTACAGCCCCAGTGGCTTCAATATTGACACCAGATAACAGTGTATCTTACAGTGATCTGACACCAGATAACAGTGTATCTTACAGTCATCTGACAACATCGGAAAGACAGCGTTAAGATCACGAG